CACTCTCCTACAAACGTGTTCTGACTTTATATTCAGAAAAAGCAGTAAAGCTGGTGTTGTACAAGATGGCTGCCAGAGCTCCAGCCCCAATCCTCTAGCTGGTACAGGTGAGAGACGCCTGTGGAAAGGGGAGGCAGCTATTTCACCCCGGAAAAATCTCAAAGTGTCTAGTGGGCTCTGATGGGTCACATGCCCACCTCTGACCAAATCACTAGGGCTGAGGGACCACAGTGTTCTGAGGGGCCACTCCTGAGTCACCGCCCACTTTGGGGGTTGGGGTGGACACGTCTGGACTGAGAGCTGGAGAGGGTGGCTCTTCAGAGGAATATCAAGGATGCTGCCGGAGGGGCCCACTTAGATAAGATGGCCCAGGGGCTCCTCAGACGAGGGCTGGAGTGCCCTTCATTGGCACGGGGGAAGGTCCCAGAAGACACTGAGGGAGTGGGGAAGTGAAGGAGGAGGGAAAGAAGCCAGTGAGGTGTGTCCCTGGGCGGGGGGACCGGGGCTCCGTCTCTCTGGGACCTCTGGGAGGCTGCTGACCGTGTGTCAGAGCTGCCCCCCGCATTCCCTGAGAAGTGAGGACGCAGATGTTCATCCCCCAATTCCAATCATCCTTGCCAAGGCCTGCTCCTGTGGGCATCAACTCTCCATACACCCTCTGCTCAGGGGAAGCTGGCCCCTGTGGCCAGAGAATGCCTCCGGCAGAGTCTCCAGTGCTGGCAGCGAGAGGCTGGGACTGGTAACTGGGAGAGGATATGGGTGGGGCATCGACAGTGTCTGCTGCAGAGAGAAAAACAGGTCATGGTGCCAACCAGCTCTTAGGACAGGGGCTCACTTTGGTCTGGGTCCTTCTCTCAAAGAAAGGAGGCCATAGGTGCTGCCTCTGGGTAGAGTCCCAGAGAAGAAGAAAGCAGAGGGGGTAAGGGACAGGCTGTAGAGTAGGGCAGATATGCAGGGTCATCCAGTATTCTCTTGCTGGCTGTGAGACCTCGGGCAAGTTACTTAACCTCTCTGAGCCTCAATTTCCTCATCTATAAAATGGGAATATATAGGGTTGTTTGAAGATTAAATGAGATAACTGATTATATAGCACTGGACACATGGTAATCAAAGAGTTGGTTCAACTGATCTTTGACAAAGGAACAAAGACAATTTGATGGAGAAAGGACAGTCTTTTCAACAAATGGAGCTGGAACAACTGCACATCCATTGGAGAAAAGAGAAAGAAAATAAAGAAAAAAAGAATCTAGACATAGACCTTCTACCTTTCACAAAAATAATTCTAAATAGACCATAGACCTAAATGTACAACGAAAAACTATAAAATTTCTAGAAGATACCATAGGAGAAAATCTAGGATCTAAGTTTAGCAATGAGCTTTTAGATCAACATTTAAAGCATGATCCATAAAAGAAAAACTTTGTTAAGTTGGACTTTACTAAAATTTAAAACTTCTGCTTTAAGATAAACAAACACTTGGGATCATTAAAAACTAAGCCAAAGACTTAGAGAAAAATCTTTGCAAAACATATATCCAGTAAAGGATTTATATCCAAACTATACAAAGGATTTTTAAAACTCAACAAGAAGATAGCAACCCAATTTTAAAATGGGCAAAAGATCTCAACAGACCATATATATACATGCAGATGACGAATAAGCACATGGAAAGATGCTTAACTAACACGGCTTTAAGGAAATTGCAAATTAAAACAACCATGAGATGCATATCTACTAGATGGGCTAACATTTCAAAAACTGACAGTGCCAAATGCTGGGGAGAATGCAAAGCCATGAGGACTCTTGCTCATTGCTGGTGGGAATGCAAATGGTGCAGCCACTATGCAATACAGTTTTTTTAAAATATATAATTTTTTATTTATTTTAGAGAGAGAGAAAGGGAGCGGGATAGAGAAACAGAAACATTGATGAGAGAGAAACATTGATAGGCTGCCTCCTGCACGCCCCCTACCGGGGATGGAGCCCACAACCCAGGCATGTGCCCTGACTGGGAATCAAACCGGTGGTGACCTCTTGGTTCATGGGCTGGTGTTCAACCACTGAGCCACCTGGCCAGGCCAGTTTGGGTTTCTTGCGAAACTAAACATATTTCTACCTTATGATCCCGCAATCACACTTGGTGTTTATTCAAAGGAGTTGAAAATATGCCCACACAGAAACATGCACATGCGTGTTTATAGCAGCTTTATTTGTAATTGCAAAAACTGAAAGCCCCCCTAACCGGTTTGGCTCAGTGGATAGAGCGTCGGCCTGTGGACTGAAAGGTCCCAGGTTGGATTCCGGTCAAGGGCATGTACCTTGGTTGCAGGCACGTCCCCAGCAGGAGGTGTGCAGGAGGCGGCTGATCGATGTGTTTCTCTGATCAATGTTTCTAACTCTCTATCCCTTCCTCTCTGTAAAAAATCAATAAAATATATATATATTTTTAAAAAACTGAAAGCCAGCAAGGAGTCCTTTAGTGGGTGACCGGACACACAATCTCTGGTGCTCCCAGACAAGGGAATATTATTCAGCACTGAAGAGAAACGAGGTACCAAGCCACTAAAAGACATGAAGGAATCCGAAACCCATATCACTAAGACTTAGTCACTAAGTCACTTAGTCACTAAGTCACTAAGACATTCTGAAAAAGGCAGAACTCCAGAGACAATAAAAAGACCAGTGACGCCTAGGATTCTGGGGGAGGAGGATGAGTAAGTGAACCAGGCTGACACTCTAACCACTTAGCCACACGGGTCAGGGCTAAAATTAATTTTATTACTTTTTTAAAACCTGAAGGATAGGCTTAAAAACGAGTGTGTCGTGATGTAGTCTGAGCTGAGCTTGTATTGAGGCAACACTGGGAAGTCCCTGGGTTGCGGGCCTGAGGTTTTATTATTTTGAGGCCTCCTGGCCAGTCCCCAGGCCTGACCCAGAGCCGCCCCTAATACAGTGTGGACAGCTTGGGCGGGACTGTGCGTGAGACGACAGACTTCACGTCTGTTCTTTCTCGTGGGCCTCAGGACAATGCCCTGTTTTCTTTAACTCTTTGTTTTGACATAATTTCAGACTCGCGGAAACATTGCAAGTACAAAGAATTCCTGTATCCCCTTCTCCCAGCTTTTCCAAATGCCTTCGCACCCGACCACACCAGCTCGATCCTTTCCTGTCTCTTCACAGCCCAGCACACAGGCTGAAGGGCGGGCTCTGGCCCGGCCTCCTCCTCTTCGTCAAGCTGATGGGAACACGATTGAGCGCCTCATTCGTGTCGGGCTCTGTCCCCGGCACCTTTCACCTAGTTCACCCCCCTCCACCCTCACAGCCCTCGGAGTGGGGTCCATCGCCACCCTGCCCTGAAGAGGCAAAAGCTGGGGCTCAGGGACAGTGTGCTTTGCCCAAAGTCTCATGGTCAGCGAGTAGCGGAGCTGGCGTGCAGGTGCAGGCCTGGGGTCAAGCGAGGAAAGAGCAAAGAATGACTTAACGATGCAGAAAGCTGGGCGGGAGCCCAGTTCGGGGCAGTCAGCCCAGACCACACATTCCCCAAGTGAGACCTCTGCTGTCGCGTGCAGATGAGATTGGCGCAAACTCAGAGCCCAGGACTGGAGGAGAGAAGGTCTGCTCCTCACAGAGGGAAGCATGGCGTTCATTCTGAACTGCCGGGGTTCAAACACTGACTACATAGGCATGCGAGTGTGAGTGTGAGTGAGCGTGACTGCGGTGTGGGAGGGAGCATGAGTCCCCAGCATTTGTCACAGGTTAGGCGCACAGTAGGATCAAGAGAGAATGAGTGTGTGAATAATGAGGAAAGAGAACTGAAGTACTCTCCCCCGCCCCCCCCCCTCCACCTCCCCATCCCCGCAAGCCAACCCTTCCTCACCAGAGGCTTTGCTGCTTCCCTGGTTCACCTTCCACCACAGAACCCCTTGGGCTGCCCTTGACTCCCAGGAGTTTGCCTCCACTCTCAGACCAGGTGCTCCTTGAGGGCAAGGTGGGGTCAGCATTCTCTCTGGGTCCCCAGCACTGCCGGGCCTGAGTCTGCCCATCTCCTTCCTCCCCTCCTTCTGCGCTCCCCTCCTCAAGGCTCTCCAGCCAACCTGGCCTTCAGTCATCCCTGTAACATGCTAAGTTGGTTCCCACCCCAGGGCCTTTGCACTTGCTGCTCTCTCTCCCTAAACTAGTCTTCCCCCCTGTCCTCTTCAGGGTCTCAGCTCCAATGCCTACCCTTAAGGATACGTGCAAGCCACCAGCCCCCCTGGCCTAATAGGTCCCTCTTTTTGGTTTCTTCTTGGGGCTACTTGTTCCCTGAAATCCTTTATCCATTTAGTGGTTTTCCCACCTTCTGGCTGCATCAGGGCTCTTATGTGGCCCAGTGGTTAGTGGTCTATGGAGCCTGGGTTCGAATGCCACACCCGCTGCGACTCTGAGCAAGCATCCCTCAGAGGTTCTGTGCCTCCATTTGCCCGTCTGTGAAATGGGTGGGAGTAGCCGAGGTCCTCACTGGGCAGTTGCGGCATTAACCGAGTTGATGGGGGCCCTGAGCACAGGGTGTCGGGGTACCAGCGATTGAGAACGGTGCCTTACCGTCTAAATATGCCCGGAGCCCCGACATACAGCAGGCGCTCAGGCAGCATGTGGGCGGGATGAGCACCCACTGGCACTTAGCAGTCCTTGGGCTGCCGGGGCGGGGGGGGGGGGGGGGGGGGGGGGCGGGGGAGACAGCGGGAAAGGCGCAGGGACCAGCCGCAGCGAATGGGCCTGGTCGGGACGGGTTTTCATTCTGAGAGCGCCGGGAACTACTACGGGCTCCCCGAGGGCGCGACCTCGCGGCTGCGGGGGACCCCGCGCGCGGGGGGCGCCCCCAGGAAAGGTCAGCGGCCCGGCTCGCGGGGGCGAAGGGACAGCGACTCTTGAACTGACTGCGCCCGGGGTGGGCGGGGAGGTGCATGCAAATCCCGGGGCGGGCGCGGGGCGGGGCCGGAGGCGGGGCGGCGGGCCCGCCCCAGGAAAGCCCCGCACCCGCCGCCATCCCGGCCACCAGCAGGTGCCACTTCCCGCTCGGGCGCCCGCCGGGGAATGGACCGGAGCGCGCAGGTAGGACCCGGGGCGCGGGCGGGGGCTCGCCGGGGCGTCGGGGAGGTGCGGGGCCAGGCGCGGGGTCCCGGGCCCGACTCGCGCGGGGAGGAGCCGGGCAGGAAGGCTGGCCCGGGTGCTCGGAAGCCCAGCGCCTGCGAACTGGTGCGGAGGCATCGGCGGGGACGGCCTCTAGGGGCTTGGGGATGCGGAGCGCGTGGGGTGACACAGGTCTCGGGCCGTCGCCCCCTGGCCCGCGCGCCGGGAGCTGGTGAGACTGTGGGGGAGAAAGTGCGGCAGAGCGGAAAGTGTACAGCTGGAGACGAGCTGGAGGAATCTGGGGCCGCGGCCTGCCTTCCACCTTTGGCCTCCTTATTTGAATGCCGTTGGGTGGACCCAGCCCTGGATGCCTCTGCGCAGGCCGTTCTGAAGCTGCAAGTCTCCGGAGTTAAGTCAGAAAGCCTCTCTCCCCGTGCTGTGCACCACGGCCATTTCCAGGTCAGGGCGCGCGGGCACAGGCAGCTTAAATGCCCCCGGGAAGGCGTGGATGAGGATGGGGACCGGGCAGTCTGCCCCAGAGCCCCCCGCCTCCACCTGACAACTATTTGTCAAACCGCCGAATGACGGAATCCTCCGGGATCCGATTACCTGCAGGTTCCCAGGCCCCCTTCCGCGAGAGAGGCTCAGTAAACTCAGGACTCTGGATGTAAAAACAAAACCCCGAATCTATATTTGCTATAATCAGGAGGGACCGGGACCAGGGACCGCTGGCCGATGCTGGGGTTCACAGCGCGCCCCAGACCGGCTCTCACCTGCCTGAGCCCCAGTCCTCTGAGAGCTGTGACCCTGCAGCTCCTCCCCTCTGGCTGGCCTCTCAGGAGCTGGAGCATTTGCTGGGACATCAGCGCCTTTATTAAAACCCTCAAGTCTGTTGGGGAAACTGAGGCTCGGGTGTCCATATGGCCAGGGTGTCCCCCACAGTCAGGGGGTTCCAGAGTCAGCAGAGGCCCTGAACTGGACTAGCCCAACCTGTGATTAGAGGAGGACGCTGAGGCTGGGCTGGGAAGGGCCAGCCCACCCATTCCCTCACTCGCCAGCACTCACAGGGCTCCTCCCGGCACCCTCCAGTGCTGCTCTGGGCTCTGGTGTTTGCCCTGAGGAGGCCTCTCTCTGGGGAGCGGGGAGCTCAGTGGGGGTGATCAGCTCTTCAGGGGCACGAGGCCGGCCTCACGGAGCAGGACCCTGAGCCAGCCGTGGAGGAGGAGCAGAGGCGCTGGCAGGGGAGAGCGGGAGGGAGGGTCCGCTGAGCAGTGGGAACAGCGTGGACAAAGGCTGGGAGTGTGAAAGGCGGGTGTGGGGTGCTAGGGAGCAGGGAGAAGCCGGGGGGGGGGGGGGGGGCGAGAAAGTGGGCTTGGCCGCGTTGCAGAAGGTCTCGAGGGCCATGCTGAGGCGTAGGCCAGCGTGTCTTGCCGTTGCCTGAGCCCTAAGCGCCGCCATGCAGATTTCTGGGCCCCACCGGCCTTTGGAGTCGAATCTGGAGGGAGGCGCAGGGAAGGCAGCGGGGTGCGGGGGGGGGGCCACTAGCGAGTCGCCCTGGTTACAACACACCCATTTCCCAGCAGGTGTGGGGTGACCTCAGGGTTTCCACATTCAGAGCAGTGACTCAGTGCTGGTGTTTGTACGGCGGACCCCGGATCCCGGGGCTGCAAAAAGCCCAGCAGGCAGGGAGGTTGTTGCTCAGGTTCAGAAAGGAGCTGAAGTGAGGTGTCAAAGAGGTGGGAAGAGGGCCTTTCCTGGACCCTCCTCGCCTACCCCCTGTCCCCTGTCCGGCCCCAGGATGGAGGAGTTTGGGATCAAACAGCGCACTGCCCTCAGCTGCTTCCCGTGCACCTGGGAGGGGGCAGGGACCGAAGGCCCCTCGGTGCTGCGTTTCCTCGTATTTGTGAAATCAAGCATCATGTTTTATAAGATACTGATCACAATTTCCAACACATAGTCCATCCATAATAAGGGTTTTTGTCTATTGTTACTGTCGAGAAGCATAGCGCAGAGGTTTGGAGCATGGGTTCCGGAGCCACACTGCCCGATGCAGAGGCCAGCTTTGCTACTTACTAAGCAGCTGGCTTCTCGGGACCCCAGTTTCCCCATCTGTGAAAGTACAGTGCCTGTGCCATCACTGATGATGAAATTAGTAAGTGTCAGCACACAGAACAGTGCCTGGTACAGAGTGAGCACTATGTATGTGTTAAATATTAAGAAATGAGCCCCATTGGATGGGGGTTAGTCTGCCCGTTTTGCAGGCGAGGAAACAGAATCAACAATGTGTGTGGTGGCCTTGCCTGCGGTCCCATGTGTAGGACTGACGGAGGGATTCGAACCTCCCTCCCTCCCCAGCCTGTGTTCTTCACTGTCCCAGTTTGCTGGGGTGACCGAGAGGGACATCTTTCCCAGCATTCCTCATGGCCGGCACTGTGGAGCCGTACCTGGCTGGCCATGTCAGACCAGACTCCCCGTGGCTAGTCTGGAAGACAGGCCGATGGCTTGCGAGGAGGTTGTATGAACTTGCCCTTGCCAGAGTGGCTGGGAGAGCCCAGTGGTGGCTGCGGGTCCTGCAGGAGCCAGCGTCAGGTGGGCCGTGTTCCCGTTGCTTGTGGTGTGACTTCCAGCAAGTCATTCTGCGCCTCTGAGCTGAAGGCGCAGAGAAGGGCTTGAAGGCAGGGGCCCAGGTTCAGATGTGAGCTTGCTGCTTCTTCTCTGTGATCTGGAGGCCGCTGCCTAACCTCTCTGAGCCTCGGTTTGCTTGTCAGTGACATGGGTATATGGGGGGTGGTGTTCACAAGATAATTTTTATAGGCACCTTGCCCGTGGCTCAGTGATTGCAGTTTCTGTCCCATTTGGGACAGTCACCTCTCCATATCCAACACCCGGCTTCCTCATTCATTTCTTCTTCGAATGTGTACTGAGCACATACCTGTGCTGACAGAGCACCGGACCGTCCCTGCCCTCCTGAGCTTCAATTCCACTTGAGAATACAGGCCACACCTACACACATGCTCACAGACCCCACCCTTATGTATAATTCCTAAAGCCACGGGCTCGGAAAACCGCAAGTTTTTTCACAAAAATGTCAGTCGGGTGCACGACTTGACCTGAGCTCAGCTTGAGGCCCCCGGGGCCTTTGTTTCTCCTCCTCGCTGAACGCGTCCGTCCTGCAGGGATGTCCCTGTGGTGGGTCCCGAGGTGCTGCTCTGGACGCGTGTGTGTGTGTGGGGGGGGGGGGGCAGGGGTGCTTCCGTCGGCTGGCATTTTGTTCACGGCGACCTTTGTATAATCGGAGGGATTCTGGCCCCAGGATTTTGCTGAGAGAACGTGGACCTGCGATGTCCTGTTGGTAGTGACAGCACCCGAAGGAGCCAGGGAGCAGGTGGCACAGGCCATGGCCTCCCTGAGGAGGGACAGTAAAGACAGGGGCAGAGGCTGGAGTAGAGAGGCCTCATCCATTGCTCACCTGCTTCCGCTGCTGCTCGCCTGCGTGGGCCGCTGTCTCCTGCGTGTCTGTGCCTTTCCAAGAAGCGCCGATGCCTCGGTTCAGCTTTGGCTCCGCCGACTCATTCTCACCCTGGGCCTCCAGGGCCTCCTCGCCTCCAGGTGGCTTACGAAGTCCAGGGTCTTGGCTGAAGCAGGCCTGGGTGCTGGGACCTGCTGGGCCGGTCACCAGCCGGGTGTGTGGAGCAGGTTCCTGAGGGGGGGCTGTGTCGTTCTGAGCGGAGGACGTATGGAGGGACTAGCAGCCTCCAGCCCCAGGGCCGCTCACAGGCTGACAGTGACGTGTCCTGAGGGCCAGCACCGGGCTCACGGCTCGCATTCACTCAGCGAACATGCCAGGTGCCGGGCTCACGGCTCGCATTCACTCAGCGAACATGCCAGGCGCCGGGCTCACGGCTCGCATTCACTCAGCGAACATGCCAGGCGCCGGGGACACGGCTCGCATTCACTCAGCGAACATGCCAGGCGCTGGGGACACGGCTCCCATTCACTCAGCGAACATGCCAGGCGCTGGGGACACGGCTTGCATTCACTCAGCGAACATGCCAGCAACCAGGCTCACGGCTCGCATTCACTCAGCGAACATGCCAGGCGTGGGGACACGGCTCGCATTCACTCAGCGAACATGCCAGGCGCCGGGGACACAGCTCACATTCACTCAGCGAACATGCCAGGCGCCGGGCTCACGGCTCGCATTCACTCAGCGAACATGCCAGGCGCCGGGGACACGGCTCGCATTCACTCAGCGAACATGCCAGGCGCTGGGGACACGGCAGCCAAGGTAGGCCCTTGTGGAGCTGAGTCTAGCGGGGGAGGTGACTTGAGGGGGTGACTTTTGGGCTGAGACCTGAAGTAAAGACGCGCAGCTACCCTCCGGAAAAGAGTGCTCTGGAGGGGAACAGCAAGTGCAAAGGCCCTGGGGTGGGGACAGGCTCCGTGTGTGGGACCCGCCACAAGGAAGCCGATGCAGTTGGATGGGACTAAGCCAGGGGGGGAGGGCGGGGCCGTGGGGATTCAACAGGGCCGGTGCCTGCGTGGTCTCACTCGACGTGTAGAAGAGCCTTCAGAGCAGGACCCGCTCTTCTCCAGACGTCACAGACGGGAAACAGCACAGAATGGTCTAGTAACGCGTCCAGGGTGACAGCTGCCAGGCGGCAAGCAGGGCTGCGACCTGCCGCTCCAGGGTCCTCAGTCTGCACCACTCGGTTTGGACACATCATGGAAACGGCTCATGCGGAGGCCCACCTGCTGCTGCGATCACTGCTGGTGTGGCCCCCGGCTGCGGCCAGCCCAGCAGCCCCGTGGGCGTGGTCAGGCCAGGCGTGGCGTTACAGACGACCATTTACCAGTGAGCCCCTTCCCCGGCCAGACAGTGAGGACGCACCCAAGCAGAGGGGGCGGGGAGGTGGGACCGGACGAGTGGAGGCCCTGCTCCATAGCAGGCACTGTGCTGGGCGAGGCGGGTAGACATCTGG